GGAACATAGGCATGCTTACAGACGCCCGACAATAGCTGTATTTCTCGACCTGAAGGCGGCATTTGACTCCGTTGATCGAGAAGTCTTATGGCAGTGTCTGTCACTGAAAGGCGTGCCTAGTAAGTACATCACCTTATTGAAAGCTCTCTACTCGAACACTTGTGGGCATGTTAGAGCCTATGGTGAGTTGTCCAGGGAGCTATACTCATCAAGTGGTGTCCGTCAAGGATGCCCACTATCCCCATTCTTATTTAATTTTATCATAGATATTCTTATGGAGGTTTCCCTCTCGTCACCTAATTACAAGACGTTGACCCGATCACAGGTGAATTTTCCTTAGATCTAGAATATGCAGATGACATAGTCCTGTTAGGTGAAGACGCTGACAAGATGCAGAGTCTTCTGAACACTTTGAGTGGGAATTTGAGAATGTTTGGGATGCGATTTTCACCACCCAAATGCAAATTTTTGCTCCAGGACTGGTCTTCAGCGGTACCGCGGTTAACAATAGAGAGTGAAGTGGTTGAGTGTGTTGACCACTTCACTTACCTGGGAAGTAGGATCAACCCGGTGGGTTAGTTGCCGATGAGATTTCTGCACGGATACAAAAGGCTCGATTGGCTTTTGCCAATTTGCGCCACCTATGGCGCCGCCGTGATATTCGTTTGTCTATTAAGGGTCGCGTGTACTGCACAGCAGTCCGCTCTGTTCTACTGTATGGCTGTGAAACATGGCCATTGAAAGTGGAAGATATGAAAGGTTCAGGTGTTTGACCACCGTTGCCTTCGTAGTATAGGACGTATTCCGTGGTGTCACCATGTGAGTAATGCAGAAGTTAGGTGTAGAGTTTTAGGGAGAAGAGGTAAGTCAGTCGACGAGGTTGTGAACCTTCATCGACTGAGATGGTTGGGACACGTACTACGTATGCCTAGTCACCGATTGCCTCGTCACACAATGTTGGCTGAGGTGGGTTCAGGCTGGAAAAAGGCCCGAGGTGGCCAGACTAAAACATGGCACCAATGTATGAAGTCTCTGACTGTTGGTTTAAGCCATGTAGGACGATGCAGACTAGGTGGTTGGGGTCCACGGGACAAGAGGAACCAGTGGTTGGAGACCCTAGGTGATATGGCTCAGAACCGAAGTCAGTGGCGCAGATGTATACACACATTATCCTCATCTTAACAACGCTATACCGAATCTCACTATTTTGTCACTCCTCTTTCCTTTCTTCTCGTACTTTATATTTCTTTTGACTGCATTCACTTATCTTCATCCTTCACCTCACTACCTTTTTACTTGATGTGCTGATATGAGGTGTGGCAACTCGGACCGTTACGCAGTAATGCCTGGTCCTATGTTGATAATGATGATGATGAACTTATAAGATGAGAGTAAAAGTACAAAACAGAAAGCCTTATGTTAATCTAACTTAAGTTTATGCATTGAAATTTGCCACAGAGTAGTACTTATAGGTTTATATGTTTCTAAAATGACCATGTAAGAGAACCGGTTTAACAGGGTAGTGTTAACGGATAAAATAAAATCGGGTAAAGAAAGAGGCTGAACTGGAAACAATATCATGGGTAGAATATAAGTAACAACTATGTAATATTTAGTCACAATTTCATATTAAGCCATTTCATTACTAAAGCAAACCGTTGGTTTTCCACGTCGTTTTACTCCTTCGTATTAAATATTCACTGAAAACGTATCGAAACTGCTGCTGTGGTCACACGTCGTTGTTTCTATATTGTTCATCCTTCAGATTCCCCTTATATTTCATAAAATACTTTATTATAGTATGGTAAAGGAGTTAGTCTGTCATGAATTAGCGAAACGGTTGAAACTAAAACGAATTACTTATGTCGTGCTCCCACTGATTTACCTCTAAAAAAGTATTTTTTATCGTTGCTTAAAACTCAATATTGAACACAAATCAGTCTGAACGGATAGTAGATGAATAGCCATTGGATAATTTTAGGACTTACGAAGTAACCATCGGCTTAAATTACATTTACAATCACAATATTAACATGTTACTCAAGATGGATGATATATCATTTAGACTTGAGTTTCAGCTGTGAATGATCTGTAATAGACACATATCTCAATATCTCCCACTCTACCAACCACCAAAACTCGTTTTATTACTATTATTATTTTATCCTTGGGTTGCTAGAGGAAAATACGGCTTCACTAGAACGCCGCCATTAGACTCTCTTCTCTGCAGTCTTTCCAACCTCGCTCCACCACTGCCCACAAGCTTTCATTTCTCCCTCACTCCATCTCCTCCATGTCACCCTCGCCTCAGATGCTCAACTCGTCCTCTTTTCCCCTTTGAATTACACTCGAGGACCTGGTCTGGTGCGTGATGTCTCCAGTCGGCCTTCTCAGTGCATGCCCAATCCAATCCATGTACACTTTACTGCACTGCATATTTGTTGGGTGATGGTTCTTGCTTGGTTTGTCGCCAACCAGTCAGCAAGAATTCCTTGTTTCTTATTCTTATTATAGTGGCCATCTGATCTTCAGTGTCAGTATCGAGTGGGTGCAGTTGGGAGCTGTTGATGAATGTGTGTAGTTTGTTGGAAGTGCTTTGCTTGACACACAGAGTTTCTGAACCATCACATAGAAGCACTGACTTAACTGACATTGGTGTTGAGAATCGGGATGTTGTTCAGGCTTTGTGCTGAGTGGAGTGGAGTAGATCTCCACACTGATTTCAGATTGGTGCAGGAAGGCCTATCTTGCTGTCTTTCCGATCCTGGTTTTGACATTCTCGTCTGTGCCGCCGCCTGTAGTTGGAGCGATGCTGCCTAGGTAGGTGGTAGGTGAAGGAGACAACTTCTTTTAAGTTTCTCCCGTTGATGCTGATTGGTGCTTGTTGTTGATGCTGTTGTATTTTGGGTATCTTCATCACCTCCATCTTCTCTACATTCACTTGAAGTCTGGTTTTCGCTGCCTCTTCTGTCAACTTGTTAGTTTTATCTGTAGATCTTCGAGTTTATGACAGTAATATTTGAAATCTGAGCACGGAAAGTAGCTCACTTGTGTGTTATATTTGTGAAAATCTTTAAAAAGGCGTTTACAAGGTAGAAAAAATCTTTAAAAAATATAATTTCATTAAATTTTCCGTATTCCCATTAGGTGAGCTGGTAAAAAATTTAAAACATACAGATTCATTTGCTGAGAAAATTTCACTATCTCGTTACTTGAATCCTATTTCTGCCAGACATTTCTCTCTATGGAACAAGTAAACATCAGGAAAGGTTTAACTCTTGAATGCGAACCTTTTACTTTATTGTGGTAGTTATTTTTCCTACTGAACGAGGCCTAAACAAAACAAATGAGCACCTTTTTGTAAAATTTTGGCTGGGATCCTATTAAGTATGTCAGATTCTACAACCAGAACATACAGTACTGATTGAATTCGACTTTAAAACTTCAGCAGAACATTAAATCTAATCTTCTACACAGGTATGACTAGTGAAGCATAAATGGAGCGAAAATCCAAAGCAAATATCGTCAACCCTAAAACTTCAGAAACCTAGATAACGTCAGATCAGCTGGACCAGCACTAGGAACAGCTTAAGCTGAGTTGAAGGAAAGGTACTCTTACTGACTCGGCAGATGAGCAATCATTCCATTCTAATAATTACTCAACAAAATATTTCGATCACTAAATAACTGAAGTATACTTAAGTAGTTTTAAATGCTTTACCCTGAGACTGTAGGACTTCACATAACTGGTGAGTTGGGAATTAAGTAAGGTGGTTATACAGCTACAACACTCGGACATACGATAATGGATGAGTACTACCTCAATTTTGAAATGCATCAAGCAACCTTGTGCAGATTCGTGCAGTAGGTGATGAGCAACACCTATTATATGAGGGCTAGTGACCACCTGGATACTCAAACCATGTTACTCTACACATTAAGGACAACACTTGAAAGAGTGTTAAAATGCTGATCTACTATACGTTAACGTACCTCATCAACTTGGAAAAAATAACACTTCGACGATCGGTCACCTTCTTATCAACTGCATTTCAGATATGAATGCTTACTTTGGTTGAAATGGGGTCCTGAACACGGAAAATCTTTCAAACACGTATTGTTATTGAAATATAGTTTTTAATAGTATGCTCATATACTGATTTTAGAGTACCATTTTCAGTGAACAGCCTCCTTTCTGGTAAACAGGATCTTTGGCTGTATTTCCAGTGACATGTTACCTCCCTTCTTTGTCACTAGATTTTTCTTCTTGTAACTATGAGCACATTTCGCCTCCACTTAATATGCATTGTTCGACTTCTTTCTTTGTCCGTTGTTTATAGTTTGAAGTTAACTATCTCACTTATTTGTTTTGTGACTTCCTTACTTTTGCTGCCCATCTTCTGAGGTTCTACCTGCTTATCTCTGATCAAATGTCCTAAGTGTTTCATGTTCTTCAGCAAAAGGTTCTTGAGAGCACCAGTTGTTATGAACAGTGGAAGTGATAAAACTTCACTAGTGGCTTGGGTATTACGTATGCTGTCGCACAGAAACTATACAATTTGACCGTTTCAGTGACCAGCAAATGGTTATCTTTTGCTTATTGGTGTATGAAGTGCGCATGACAATAGTCAGCACATTGTATGAAGAAAATGAAAACTCATTACAAGGACAATTTTGATTTATTGATGTCACTGGTAATCATTTCCGTTTTGACAGATACATTTTGCAACTAATAACTACCAGTAAATGATCAGAATTTATGGCTTTGCTTGTTTTCAAGATGAGATATATCGTATGAAGCTTATGTTGTTTATAAAACTAGACATGTAAAAGATAAAGTAAATTGACTTTGACTAGTTGGCTTACATACAATGAATAACAAAATAAAGGGGGTTTGACATCACGGAGAAGATTACAAGAATTCCTATGCCTATTGTTTTTGACATTTATACTACCATAATGATTACTTAGTCAAGATGCACATTTGTTTGTTGCATTTAGTAACAGAATGCGGCATAAAATAAGTTAAGAAACGTTATTGTTCAACAAACAAATCACTAATGTTTACGTATTGCTATAAGTGTGCCACTCAAATGTTGTTGACTGAATAGACGTAAAGAATATAAATATCATTACTGTGGTTCACTGTACCCACCCGATGAAAATGCTGTATGACAGAGTATTTCACCTTTTATTCCTATTAAGTAAGATGAATTTTCAATTAATGTGTGTTTAAAACCTGAGATGCAAATGACTAAATATTTCTATGAACATCACTTTTTACTCCGAAAATCTCATCCTTTGAAACTTTGTGCATATCGATAATCTTCTACCTCGAAAGTCGTGTATTCCTGAGAGAATATCGAGTATTACAGTTCGAGAGTTTATTGTAGACATTTATATATAGGAACGTATTGATTTAGCTGAAGGCAATGAAACTGAGAGATAGAATTTATTAACATCTCAGTGTTTCAATGCTCTTTGTTCCCACTAACTGGCTTTCACACAGCAACTTAAGTTTTCTTATCACCCATAATAATACTATTATTTGAGGATGTACAGTTGAACGATGAAAGTTTCACAATCATACACTGATTCACTGGCGCAAGCAAACGGCAGAAAACATTCGATAACATCACCAAGTATACTGAGTTAGACCTGGATAATAAATAGCCCCTTTAAGAGGTAGCAAATAAAACTTGCTTATCAACAACTTCGGGTAGATCTGTCACATGAATTTTGATTCATTACAAGAGAGTCGTTTTTCTGCACCACATGAGTGAGATATTCGATTGTGGTATAAAAGTGCCTTCATTACCGTAATGATGGTCTTCCGACAAACAACATAAAATAAACTTTGAATACTGACACAGCTACATTATCAACACTTTTTTGATGAATATGCCTGCAAAGATGAAACAGCGGAGAATTTGGTGACATATCAGTCATCAGAAAACCAAGGCTAGCGTAGTGTATTCCATTTATTACCTGATGAAAAATGCTCCCACCACTTTCTTTCTAATTTATGACCAATCATACAGGGGAAAATGACCGTCAATCAATTAATCACTCAGCATTTGTTTGTGCTGTAATAAATTCTCAAGACGTCTCACAATATAGGTCATATCTGCTTGATAATGCGGTTAAACTACTACATGTCCTTGGGAAAGACTTCTACTTTTTCTAACAAGTACGTTTCAATTTTATCGTAAAATCTGTATTGGATGTTCTTTGATCAAATATGGTTTGTGTATCACATAAGTGAAGGGCTATTGCACTGTTTAATGGGGACATGAATTAAATCCGAAGAAATCCATCACAACAGTCAACAGACAAAAAGACCTCATACCTACTACGAATTGCTGGAGCCGTCATTAGCCCATAAGTTCAAAAGAAAACAGTTACCAGTTTATTATTGCCTTGGTAATTAGTGACTTTTCACCCTCCTCATCTCTCACAAAATATTTTTAATACATTTATTTTGTGCTTATTCATATTGAATAGGGTTCATTATTACCCTATTTATTGCTATTACAACAGTTTTTTATCGCCTACTTATTATTTTGTCGACGTAATATTTTCACATTCATAAAAGTTACCATACTTTTTTGTACAAATACGTTCTTTTCATAGGTACACTGTGCTTATCAGTCTGCATAGCCGAAAGCCGAAATTCATGGCCTAGTGAGTTCAGAGTGATAGTTTACTATGCTGAGTAAGAGGCGTAATATTGTTCACTATTCCCACTTATTGAAGCTAACAATGGAAAGCGATATATGGTTTGTCGAAGTGATCACAATCAACTAAATAATACCACAAGGAATGTTGGATGTATAGTTCTTGTGATACGATTTCTTCTGGATATAAATGTTGTCATTAAGCTAAGGCGTATTCTTACCAACTTGAATACAGTTTACCACAAGAGCCGAGAGTAATACTATCCTATCTAGCGCTTTGATAACGAACACAACTGATGTATTTTTTAATGTATGTACGCCAGCATGTATTTATGAGCATTTGATACTACATCATATCCTGCTATTTAGAAAATTCTAAATTCCATTTACCTCCAACAAGTGTGGTACCCAACACTGTAATTTGAAGATACTAGAGGGCAGATATCTCTTCAGAAAGATTTCACTTAGGCCTTCTACGCAACTTATTGTTCTGCAAAATGGTTTATGCACAGCTTAAGCATTTCTTGATAAACATGATAATGCTACTTCTGCTAGATTTGTTTGTTTCTTTATCCATACTTCAAGTGCGCAGATTACTTTCCACTCACTCGAAACAGAGAAGAATTGCTGACTCTTCGAAAAGTAACCAAACGCTCTAGTGACGAATCAACTGCAGAAACAGTGGATTCGTGTGATGTGTGATAATGTATTAGTGAGAAGCGATGACGATTATAGGATCTACAAACTGAAATCATGATGGCTTTCAGGATTTAATGTCATTAATAGTACTACACCTAAATGGCGTCAAAAAATAAACAACAGAAATGAATCCAGGGTGAACCACGGCTGAAAGCGTCAAAACTGTGCGGACTCAAGGAAAACGGCTTAAAGAAAAACAAGTGTATATTGGAATATAGTGAATCAAGAATAGGAACGAATGAATGAATCACAATCTTATATTGAACTGGGAATGATAATGACATCCTAGAATGTTTGAACAAACACGTAAATAATTCATATTTCAAATAGATAAAAACTAAGAGAACTGCTTATACTACTTTTTAATAGTAACTAGAGTAAACTAAAGTGTTAAATTAATAAGGGGAGTAACTTCAATATAGAAAAGTAGAGTGTGAAAAAATTAACTAGTCGACTTTATTTAAAACGGTCAGCTATGAACATAGACTGGTACTTTTTACCTCTTTTATGTCATGTCAATGAATAACTAAAACCATAATGCTGAGCAGTAGAACGTTTAAAGTACATCGCTTCACAAACAGTTTTACTCCCTTATGTATTGTTCACAAAATGCCTTCCAAGTAGTATTTAAATATATTTTCATTCGTAATTACTTCTTCATTATCAACATAAGCTACTCAGCTATTAAGATACTTCTTTCGAAGTAAATGCTACAATTACAATAATGTTAATAAAGGTATTTATCTGTTGAAATTTTCTCCCCACTTTTCTTAACTTTCTTCAGTTGAGGAGTTATCCATTGTTATTTAAATTACTCCACACCAGTCGTAGGACATCACAGTAACTGAACAAACTTAAGTAGCCATATAACACGTAAAGTCGAGGTTTTGACTCATGTTTATTTCTTTGAAGACAAGTGAAACAGTAGAATTTCCTCAACTCTTAGATGCTTTTTTTCCAGTCAGTCAATCATTAATTTGTCATAATAATTCTTGAAATCTGTAACTGGAATACACAAAATATACTTTGAAAAGGCATTCAATCATTAATAGGTAAGTCACTGAGTTTTGGTACTCATGATGAAGTGTCTGAATACCTGTAAATCGATGTGTGAATATCCCCCTTATTTCATCGTTTTGTTAGAACACTTTATGTTGAAAACGTAGGAAACTGTTATATACAAAGCCTGGTTGATTCAAGTGACAGAAAAGCCATCAATGCGACGAATTGGTTGGTTAGTAGAACTGCCATTCAATTCCTAGTTCATGGTCTTTCAAAATAAACTGATATGTAAATTGAAGAGGATTCGTTCATCATATAATACCTTTTTATTTCAGGCAAGGATAGAAATCAGAGTTTTGTTATTGACAACCGAAGTAAATGGGATTATATATAACTTCTTTGGATGGATACCCCACAAATGGCATTAAATGGATACGTTGATAAGATACATACCATTAATATTCTACTTTCTTACTTGACTCGTATATGTTGATATATAATCAATGATTTTGGCTTTTCTTATCTTCAACTTTCAGACTTCTGTGAGTTGACTACACTCCCCATCTTTTGATTTCAGCTAATTCGCATAGAAATGATCCTGGTACAGTGTATTTCTAACGGTATTATGATTACGCTGAAGGAACGATAAGACACAGTTGTGGAAATAAATCATTTTTATTTGTACCTAGAATGAAATGTCTAACAACTTTAAAATGTTCGCAGTGAGGAATGGTATTGACTGACGTGTTTATATCATATGAATTCTAGGCCTCTGTCGCAAGAATCTAGTAGACTTGATGAGCATCATACAGTATCAGTAGATGGAAATTTGACTGATGTTTTAATTTTTGTCATTACAACTGGACAACTGGATAGTCATGAGTTTCAGTCATGTTCAATCGAATAGTCAATAAACCCGGTGACTTTCATAAATTTCAAGAAACTCAACTCTAAACATATTGTTGGTCATATTTATTCGTTACTTCAAGACAACCCGGATTATTTACCAAAATTATTAATTCTGTAAGCATTTCACTGAAATGGGTAATCTAATAACACAACTGGGATTTACGATATCACTAACTAAGTACTACCTTCAAAGATATAATCTACATTTGTGGAACGTTTTTCGAGTAGAAATTATCTTACTGCATGGAGGAAAGGCGACGTTAGAATTCATGAGGAAAAGAGAAGGAACTACTTACTGTACTAGTAATTTTATTTGTTTGTCCCTTGGGTTCCTACTGAAAAAAATACGGCTTCAGTAGAATGCCCCCATTACACTCTCTTCTCTGAAGTCTTTCCAACCTCGCTCCACCACTGCCCACAAGCTTTCATTTCTCCCTCACTCGATCTCCTCCATGTCACCCTCGCCTCAGACGCTCAACTCGTCCTCTTTTCCCCTTTGAATTACACTCGAGGACCTGGTCTGGTGCGTGATGTCTCCAGTCGGCCTTCTCAGTGCATGCCCAATCCAATCCATGTACACTTTACTGCACTGCATATTTGTTGGGTGATGGGTTCTTGCTTGGTTTGTCGCCAACCAGTCAGCAAGAATTCCTTGTTTCTTATTCTTATTATAGTGGCCATCTGATCTTCAGTGACAGTATCGAGTGGGTGCAGTTGGGAGCTGTTGATGAATGTGTGTAGTTTGTTGGAAGTGCTTTGCTTGACACACAGAGTTTCTGAACCATCACATAGAAGCACTGACTTGATTGACATTGGTGTTGAGAATCGGGATGTTGTTCAGGCTTTGTGCTGAGTGGAGTGCAGTAGATCTCCACACTGATTTCAGATGAATAAAAGCTTGTGTACCAGTAAATTACTTACTTCCCCATTACAAATAATGATTCAGCTTTGTTGATGTTAAACAGTAGGCAATGAAGTCAAGACAACGTTTTCGATCAAAAATATATTTACACTATTTGTGGATTGGAAGATGATTACTCAATGACATCTATTTTTTTCGTGAAGAATCTTGCATCAGAATCCAATAAGAAATGTCTGAAGTAGTTTATTTCAAATACTCAGTGACTAACACAAATATAATCTACATCCACTGTCAACCTTTTGCTTAACATTCAATATTTGTGACATCATTTACTCAAATCTTGATCAGAGTTCATATATGATATCTATTTCATTTACTTTCCTAGTAAACAAGTTAGAACAATACTTAAGTCGTAAGCATATTTTGTGAGATTTGATACATGTTGAATTGAGCTTATTTGAGTGCTATCTTACTACTTAACAAATTATGATGAGAACTCCGAGTCGGATCAAGTAGTTAGAAAGACCCTAATACGAGTATTTGTATGCATTTGATCACTTCACTCAAAATGTAGTAAAAAAAACCCAGTTCTTTTCAGTTGAATATCACCCATATAAATAATCTGATGCTATTTAGTTAGGTTGTTGACTGCCAAAGTTCCAGGTGATGAGGAAAGATAACAGATTTCTAGAAATCTCATACTCAAGACCTTGAATTCCCTTAAAAAGTATTAGATCCAAGACCCATAATGTGAATTGATAATAAGGCTTACCACTCATTTGTCTTGTATAGCAGCTAGTATTTATGCAGTTAGATGTAAGGAAATCATTTAAATGAAGAATGATGAGCAGAGTTAATGAGACGTGTTTTCTTATTAGGGCATGTTGTTGATGTCTGCTCAATAAATCTCTTTTGTCTGTCAGATCGCAGTGACAAATTGCTAACTTGTACGATGAACATGAAAAGTTCCATAAAAAAAGTTTAGTGTTTATATGACCAGCTTTTCAATACTCCTCATACTAATTCTAATTGGTAAGAGGTGCGGGATGAAATACTTAACGGCAAGGTTCTGCTGATGAATTTTATCAATTTATGCACTGTTTTTTGTCAAAATAAGCAGGATAACCAAGTTGTTTTAAAGTGAATCCACTCAATCAATGACACACAGCTAACTTGTACGAAGAACATGAAAAGTTTGATGTAAAAGCTCATGGTGTATATTACCAGCTTTTCATCAATTCTCATACTAATTCCAATGCAAAAAAAGTGCGGGATAGGGTACTTAACATCAAATTTCTAGCAGTGAATCTTACCTATTTATCCGCCATATCGATTAAATTCGCTGAATCATTGAGGTGGTCTTGTACTTCATAGCTTTATTACACAAACCCAGGAAGTAATGCAAATGCTCTACGGCTAGAGCGAAATTATCGAAACGCTTTATATTGTTCTTTTCTTGTATTTAACTGACATGCAAGTGGTTTACGGAAAAAACAATAAATGCAGACGCTGATGCTGATAATGTGAATTGTCTGTTGGCCAAATACCTTGTCAAAAATATTATTTGAGTGGTATTAACTACGTTCATCGCAACAAAACAGTGCCATTTTCACAACTGCTTAGCTGATTAACAATCCCGTAATTCTACTACTTGATAGAATATCAGGAATTAGAGGGAATAAACTTACATTCCATTAGTTTTAGTGAAATGATGTTCAGTGTCTGAAAATGTTCAATCGAGGCTGCATAGCACAATCTATGTGTGTCGTTGTAAATTTAAATAAAAAAACGTCATGTTTCATTTTCTTTTGATGGGTTAAGAAAACAATTATTTATTTATTACTATTATTTATTTTTTCCCTTGGGTTCCTAGTGAAAAAAATACGGCTTCAGTAGAACGCCCCCATTACACTCTCTTCTCTGCAGTCTTTCCAACCTCGCTCCACCACTGCCAACAAGCTTTCATTTCTTCCTCACTCGACCTCCTCCATGTTACCCTCGCCTCAGATGCCCAACTAGTCGTTTCCTCTTCGGATTCCTGTCGACGGCCTGACCTGGCCTGAAGAGTGAGGTCCCCAATCGGTCTTCGCAGCCTATGCCCAACCAGTCCATCTTCAGCGTCAGTATCGAATGAGTGCAGGTGGGAGCTGTTGATGAATGTGTGTGTAGTTTGTTGGAAGTGCTTTGCGTGACACACCGAGTTTCTTAACCATCACATAGAAGCACTGACTTAACTGACATTGGTGTTGAGAATCGGGATGTTGTTCAGGCTTTGTGCTGAGTGGAGTGGAGTAGATCTCCACACTGATTTCAGATTGGTGCAGGAAGGCCTGTCTTGCTGTCTTTCCGATCCTGATTTTGACATTCTCGTCTGTGCCGCCGCCTGTAGTTGGAGCGATGCTGCCTAGGTAGGTGGTAGGTGAAGGAGACAACTTCTTTTAAGTTTCTCCCGTTGATGTTGATTGGTGCTTGTTGTTGATGTTGTTGTTTGGGTATCTTCATCACCTTCATCTTCTCTACATTCACTTGAAGTCCGGTTTTCGCTGCCTCTTCTGTCGACTTGTTAGTTTTTGCCTGTATTTTTTCCAGTTTGTGCGATATTAGACATAAATCATCATCGGCGAAACCCAAATCTACTAAGGTCTTTTCATCGGTACAGCGTATGCTCCTCTTTTTGAGCCCAGTAAATAAAAATTTTTGCCATTTTAGTGTTCCAGAACTTAACCAGTGGTAATAAGTGAGTCTAAGCAGTTGCCTGATTACTTACTATTTAGAATCTACCATTTTCATTGTTTCCTATTTGGTTGTTAATTGAAGGAAACTAGTGCAGTTTTCTTATTTCTGCTTTCCAGTTTAAGCATCAATTGAATCAACTTTAAGTGACAAACGGGTGACCTGTTCACAGGTTTCGATCCTACATTTTACCATAACGATGAAGCATAACACTCAATTTCTAAACAGCATAATTGGAATATTGCCATACTTGCTATTATCAATTCACTCTACAGTGTCACTCATTTTGTTTTCGATACAGTTGATGAATTATTTGGAGATATCGGTGCTTCCGGCGAACAGATACAAGGTTATGTGAAATACACAGCCCATCCACTGTACTGCATACAATACCAACAAAACAATCCGTCTGTTAAACTTTGCAGGAAGTAGTATCACCTATTGATTCTTTTTGTTCACCTACAATAAACTTCCTTATGGTTTCATATTTCACTGGGTCAACCAGCAGAGAGTAAGTTTCTTGGAATCGGTTATCTATACATTTTAAACTTCAAAGCGTTTGGGTTCCGTTTGTTCTAAATAGCTTTCATTTTCCAAAACACCTGTCAATACAGAATAAAAGCAGGGCACATTTATGGGTTCTACAGACACAGACTTGAATCGTTAGGAAAACATAAATACCGAAATACTTGGAACTACATGTCGCCTATAATTATTCTCACTTCCATCAACGAGTCGAAACCATAGAATTAGGGTTTCCTGTTGGTATACTTCAAATATACCACTAATGTCAGCAAAAACACACTTAATGAGTCATCAGTATCCCCATTGGGCAATACAATAGACCATCGAAGTTTCTTCTTCTTAAAATGATGATAAGATTGCCTGGTTTCTTTATTTGTCTCTGATAATTAGATCTAAGCAGTCAAACCAGTTACTCTTAGTGATATACGTCAGCTGATACTTGGAACCGAAGAAATGTAGCGTGGTACAATCCCACTGGAAGTTATGTTAATCTAAACACGTATTGCAACTCTTTTAGAGTTTATACTATTATAACTAGAAACTAAAAAGCAAGTTTTTATTTTATTTAGCTGACATTGTGATCCAAATGGTTTGAAAATACTGTGTGAAAAATGACCAGCTGTTGGTACACCTCAGGGATTTTTTAAAACCCTGAAATGAAGACCTTGAAAATGTCGATTGCAACTATCTTTCATTATTATTATTATTATTATTTTTCCCTTGGGTTTCTAGTGGGACATAGGGCTTCAGTAGCACGCCTCCATTCCACTGTGTTCCCTACATTCTTTGCAACATCGCTCCACAACTTCCCACAACCCTTCACTTCTTCCTATGACCATCTCCTCCATGTCACCCACCACTTGGACGCTGAACTCCTTGTTTCCCTTTGGATTCCACTCGAGGACCTGGCCTGGTGTCCTAATCGGTGTCCCTAATCTGTCTTCTCAGTGTTTGCCCAATCCATCTCCACTTTCTTCCACTACATATTTGTTAGGTGATAGGTTCTTGGTTGGTTCGTTCCCAGTGTTCCTCGTTGGTTATTCTCATTATTCTGGCTATCTAATCTTCAGTATCGAGTGAGTGTAGGTGGCAGTTGTTGATGAATGTCTGTAGTTTGTTGGAAATGTTTTTTGTGACGCGCCAAGTTTCTGAACCATTACATAGAAGCACTGACTTGATTGATATTGGTGTTTAGAATCGGGATGTTGTTCACGCTTTGCGCTGAGTGGAGTGCAGTAGATCTCCACACTGATTTCAGATTATTGAAAGTTTATCTTGCTCTCTCGATCCTGGTTTTGATATCCTCGTTTGTGACGCCGCCTGTAGTTGAGACGATGCTGCCTAGGTAGTTAGGTGGAAGAGACAACTTCCTTTAGATTTCTCCCCTTAATGGTGATTGGTGTTTGTTGTTGATGCTGTTGTTGGTTGGGTATCGTAATCACCTCCGTATTCTCTACATTCATCTCAAGTCGCATATTCGCTGCCCTGCATCTTCTATCAATTTGTTAGTTTTCGCCTGTAGATCTTTGAGTTTGTGCTACTCATCATCATCATCTGCGAAATCCAAATCATGTTCTGGGGTTTTTTCATCGGCCCAGGTAGCCTTTGCCTATCTTCTCGCTCCCCACAGTTGTCTGCTGCATGATCAGGAAAATCATCGGTGAACACTGTATTGTAGGAATAATAATAAGCAAAACGTTATGTATGTATTATACAAATATTATCATGATAATATAGTAATAATAATATTATAATAATTAATGCGTCTGACTTTCGTGAATCTCTTCAACTCAACAAAGGAGTTCATAACCAGTCAAATAGAATTCCTGAAAATTCTCTAAACAAAGAAGCCCGCAGTTGTAGACAGAAGCGAAACTTCCTTTGGACTATTTCCCTGTTATCAAGTTATCATGTTGATTTTTATGAATATGAGTAGAAATTGGGAATTGTGGTAATCATTCTACAATAGTACAGCAAAACAGTATATCGCTTAACTATACCTTACATCGAGTTCATGTTATGTAAAGGGATCTTTTTCCAGAAGTGGTGAGAAAATGATTAATGGCTGCAAGAGGATCCACCAAAAATGAAACATGTTTTTGAATAGATGTTTTCAGCCTCCGATGAACACATCAAAGACTATTAGTATCAAGTCGCAAACGTGGAAAGACTTGAATACCCAAAAGAATAAAAGCTGGACCTTTTGTTTTACACTTTCCAGCCTTTTAACACGCAGACATATTTCGTTACCTTTCCAGGCTTTGGTGAAAGATGTTTACTGAAATTATCAGTTCGAAATAGGTAGCGGGAATACCACATACTACGCACTTATCTGATTCTCAACAGTTACTTTATGTTTGGTTTAAGTTAATTATGAAATAAACCTATGTTCCACTTCATTGACACTTATGTCTGATGTGCAGTTCTGAAACCTACAACAGGAATTTCGTGATTATCGCAAGAAAGACAATACTTTTCATCTGAATGATTAATAGTCTGATAAAAGCAATGTCGATGGATTTCAGTTGACTGGAGGCTATTGGCATAAAGCTGTGCTCGAATTTGGGTTTAGTCAGAAATATCAATCTGTAACCTCGATAGAACTGATATCCCCTCTGGAATGCGAACCCGCGTCATCAACTGTTTTAGTCCATGACGTTACCACTTCGTTATTCCGGCCACGATAAACGTGTTATTGAACTAGATTGTATGGATTGATTAATCAGTCTGCTAGTGAATACCTTCATGCGAATAACATTTATCAAAGTGCTCTGCGTTGCTTAGCGTCCTAGCTTGGTAGCCACAATGCAAAATGATCAATGGAATTCAGTTAGCACTCTGAAATGGACAACATGTCATTGGCTGCTCTCCAATGACTAATCAATATACCAGTGACCTCGACAGATAAAAGTGATCTAATTAAGAAAAGAAATCTTTGATTTCATGTTCAATTCATCATAATAGGGGACATTTTAGAAAAAATTAAATATCCACAAAGAAACATGCAGAAAATTAGCTTTTTCTTCGATAAAATAGAACCTAAATATGGACGAGGAAGTTAATATACTACTTTAAAAGATAACAATGTAAACATTCCAGTTGAATCCATTTAAAATTATTCTGACATTCAGAAGGGTTCCCATCACGTAAGGGAAACAGTGTAATTCAGAGGAATAATTTGAATATATGCAGACACCGAACTTGATAAACTGATCGAAACAGATTTCATTACTTTGTGTACTCAATAACTTTACTCTGTTTTTTGCACATGATTTGCCTCTTTTAAATGGAAATAAAAGATTTCTTGACAGCTATTCATCAATACGATTGAGGGCTTCAAAGAGTATTTGATTACATTCACCAGAGATTAGACGTAAAATTGCTTGTTACGAAAGTATCTTGATTTATTATACAACAGCATTTGAATTGTGAACACTAAACATGTTTCTACCTTGGCCTACTAGATGACTTCAACTTTATCATTATCATTTCCAGAAATCTGTGCAGGAAAGTGATATTAAATGAAGGATACTTATTTCAGGATGATATTCATCACGGACTGACTTTAGTTGGAGAAACATTGAAGACCTGACAGCACTGGACAACTGTTTCATCCTAGTATGGGACTCAGCAGCAATGCGCATCTATGACTCCGCGCTGCAAGAGATCGAACCCAGTTCTCGTTGGAACTAACAGGTTCACATTTCCCACTTCTGTCCCTTCACGAAATGGTGTGACCTACATCCAGTGCCATCTAACTTCCGACGTGTTTTGCATCAGTGGTCACGAATTCTTATTAGAACTTTAGGAATTTTATCTCAAAGTGAGTCACCAATGAGCACTGGATCAATTCCATTTTGAGGTTTGCAGGGATTAAATAAATCCCAGTAACCTCAAAATTGGAAGCTATTCAACCTACTTCCAAAGAAAATTGTTGGGTAGATTTTTATTACCTGACTTAAAGCAGTTTGCTTTAAAGTTTAGAATGTTTAACACACAATGAAATTGCACATGCAAAAAAGATTTTACAGAGAATACAGCTTTCCTAAGACTGTACTTAAGTGAATATGTTAAGCTGTCCGAGTGAACCATAATGTCTGTGACAACTAAGTGGGTACTGATTCTCAGTGTGATAAGTAGAAACTTATCAATTTCAACAGCGTTTACGAATGAACCACAGAATACTTACTGTAATGTTCTTTCGTTATTAATTGTCAAAATTGAATAGATAATTTATACTCACAGAATAGTATACCTGGATCCACAAAATGAAGCAAGAGAATGTAAGTGAAGTATATCATTCTTGTCATCATCACAAGTTGACATTCGTTAGAGAACCATTAAAGACCTGGTAGCACTGAGCAACCGTTTTCTCCTTGTATGCGACTCCTCAGCAATGCGCACCCAGGGATCGAACCCAGGGTGTTCAGATTCTGTGGCCAGCACGTCACCACCATACTGTTGCGTCGGAATCCAATGGTCTACATTTTCCCACTACTGTCACTTCGTGATGTCATCTGACCTACATTCAATGCTGTTGTTGAGTAACTGCCCTCACGTCCGACATTCTTAACTCCACTAGTCATGACTTCTCATGGAAAATTAGGGATTAATTTCAAATTGAAGTAAATAAAGTAAAAGGAAACTTCTAAAATGAAATACATGAATGAAAAGATTCTGACAATATTATGTAAACTTGTCATTAAAAACATTCATAATACAATTATCCTACTGAATTTTTCACAGATAAAACTGCTTTTCAGTGCTTCATGTTTTAATTTTCCTCAAATTTCCCTTTTCATAAAGTACTTTTCTTTCGTAAGTTCGGTACGATGCTGTTAAAGTGATTTCATTATGGAAGTGTTATGGCTACTGGCTGATGAATGTAAATTCTAACTCTTTCAATTAAGCACAGCGGAATGATGACAATCGAAACTCCTGATGTAATGCATTATGCATTGTCTAAACAGTCCCAAAGAATAATGCACAGCATTTTATCACACGATAGTCATCAGAGAAAACCAAGGGGATATATAACACTTCATTGACAGTATTTCTTCAATACTCAGTTTTCATCTAGAAATAACAAGTCAGTGTTCAAAGTGTACCTAATTTTCTGCTAATATCTGACTGCAGTATGCAAAAAGGTATTCATCCTAGTGAATATCCAGTAGTTACTACATCATCATTTTTCCGTTTCATGTCGTCCAAAAAATTAAAGAACCGATGGACGGATCATTCTACAAGCGATTTATCAAGAGACACATAACTTGACATAAAGGTGAAACAACAAAAATTAGTCATGTACTTATTCTTTGAATTCTGTGGAACATCTCAATTGTCTGCATTATTTCTACCTTCCATGTATCACATCACATTGAAAGTCTCGATTCAATTCGAATATTTAGAAAAAGGTTTTATTATTGAACAATCTATCCTAGTTGGGTACTCACTCCTTCATTTAAAAACAAATCGTGGTATCAAATATTGGTATTAGAGTTTTAAATAGATAGTAAAACAGTTTCTTGTCCAATAAATTCCTATTAGGTGGGTTCGAAGGTCACCATTCATCACACTCTAAGTTGCATCATCAATCTGGTAGACTTGGTAACTGGTACTCAATTATGCTACAGCATTTGTATTTGTCACTACAATATTGAGACAATGAATGTTCAGTACTAACTTCTCATCGTTACATGGAACTGAAAACATATTCAATTCATTTTGAGATGAATGGAGATTTTTTATTTTAGAAGTAGCATTCATCATGGACTAACATCAGTTGGGGAACCATTGAGAACCTGGGAGCACTGGACAGCTGTTTCGTCATAGTATGGGACTCCACAACGGTACGCACCCATGACCCGGCTAGAGACCGAACTCAGGATCTCCAGCTTTCATGACAAACGCGTTAACCATTCAGCCACTGAGTCGGTTTCCAGTGGTTCACGATTTCCAACTTCTAGTGAGAAGCCGTGACCTGTGAAGTCAACCAGTTGCAAGTGAAGTGGATGCTAACTGAAGACCTTGGGTGATAGTCGCCCTATGTCGTGGATTGACAGGAGTTGGAAATTGTGAACTAATGGAAACCGGCCCAGTGGCTGAATGGTTAACGCGTTCGCCGTAAGACCTGAGGATCCTGAGTCCGATCCCTATCCGGATCATGGGTGCGTACAGTTGAGGAGTCCTATACTTGGACGAAACAGCTGTCCAGTGCTCCCTGGTTCTCAGTGGTTCCCCAACTGAAGTCAGTCCATGATGAATACTACATTTAATTCAGTTAAAATATTTACATTTACTTTCTTGTTGTGTATTTTGTTAATTAAAATGTAACCGAAGTCAATATTATCAATTTCCAGATTTCTCAAAAAATGAAACCAAGCCATCAAGAAACTTCAACTAAATGGTGTTCATCTCATTATGTATGGCAGTAGTAATTACTTAAACAAACAATCATCCAGTTGGTGTTCCTATCATTAAACGTTTTTGTCACACACAAATACATGTCACTTGAAATGATATTCTTTTTATAATTTCCAAGTATGAATTATTTATGGGATCAAGTAGTGTGAGAAGTTTTCTCCATTCAGAGAGACATTTCTATGGAATAGATGGTGAAACATTCGAAAGACATGTGGAATAGTGAGTATCCTACCGCCTCCTTACTGGACAGTGTTGAACGATTTTAAGTTAGATTATGTTCCGGATACAGTAGAACTCTGACCCTTATGGTCAGTATCTGGCATCAGATTAATGACAAAGTTACAAATCTGAAACAATTGGTCCCTTTAATAAATTTCGATAACGCTATTAGAAGACGAAGATTATCTGAAAAATGTGATGTATTTGCGCAATACATTTCGAACAATCTGATCACACATTCACTTGTCAAGTCAATTTATATATGAAAATTAAAGGTCAAATATAGTGAATATGAAAAGGTTGTGACACTAGTCTTGGTAACATAATCAGATAAGGGTTACCAAGGTAAATTAAGTGAAACAACAAACTGTTTTTGTACACACAGCGGGGATTAAGTTTACGAATGGCTAACGCTTCGGCAAACTTCAGTATGCGCCCCTGATTATTCCTGTATATTATCCTAAACGCTGTTTTCGTATTAACCCTGTGATTCATTTCAATAATATGTTTTGCTATAGATGACGATGGATGTCTGTCACCTGCACTTATCAAAGTTTGTGTGTTAAACTGTTTTTCTAGCCATTTGGGGATGTGTTCACCCACCCTAGTCTGCATTGAACGATTACTCCTCCCGATGTATGTGCATGGGCATCGATGCCCACTTCGAAAATTTATATGATCAGTTTACTTCTCTAGTCCCTACCTCTTCGGACAACCAGAGTTGGTTGAAGGCTAAACTAGTTGATATAGCCCATCAATTCCATAACCCAGGTCCGAAACAGAGATGCATTTTAACTACGCAACACTTCAAGTCCCTGAAAAACTTACAGAGGAATCCTGATGTGATAATTCTTAAGCCTGATAAAGGATCAGGTGTTGTGTTGATGGACAAAGCAGACTACAAAAATAAAATGTTGTCTATTCTTTGTGACAAAAGTAAATTCTTGGCAGATGTTCCATCAGAGGATATAAGAAAATTAGAAAGAAAAGTAACAACTAGTCTAGTTAAACTCCTTAACACGGATGTCATTGCTAAAGCGGAGTTTAATTCCTTGAAACCCATGGGATCTAATTTCCCAAATCTATATGGACTTCCAAAAATTCACAAAATTGATAATCCACTACGCCCAATATTGTCAATGTGTCAGTCTCCCACACACAAATTGGCGAGGTGGTTAGCCGAATTACTGAGCCCGATTCGTAATGATTTATGTAAGTATTCACTGAAAGATACGTTTGAACTTGTTGATTATCTTACTGATTTGAATATTAAAAATAAGAAAATGTATTCTTTTGATGTTAACTCTCTGTTTACAAATGTGCCTCTAACGAAGACAATTAATATTCTTTGTGACCACATATCTTCGAATTATCCTTCTTTCCCTATTCCTTCAACTTATTTGAAAGAACTGCTTTTATTATGTACTGATAAGGTTCATTTCACTTTCGAAGGTGAACACTTTCGGCAAATTGATGGTGTAGCCATGGGGAGTCCATTAGGACCGTTATTAGCTGACGTATATATGTCACATACTGAACTAATGGCCCAAGATTTAATCACCAATGTCACACTTTATAGAAGGTATGTGGATGATATCCTTGTAATATGTGACACAGATGAGGATGCCAAGAGGTTATTAAAAAGGCTTAATACCGTACAAGATCATATCAGTCTGACATGTGAGGAAGAAAAAGATCATCAACTTGCATTTCTTGATATACTCTTGTGCCGGAGGGAAGATGGATCTATAAAACGATCAATATATAGGAAGTCTACTTGGACAGGACAGTATTTGAATTTTCATAGTTTTTGTCCGATGAAATATAAGAGAGGCTTGGTAAGATGCTTGTTCAATAGAATCCAACGTATTTGTACATCTGATACGATGGATGATGAGAATAAGTTTCTGACAGACACTCTAGTGGAAAACGGTTATCCATTACAGTTTGTCAACCATTGTAAAAAGCAGTTGACCCCAAAGCCTACAGTTTCCTCGGTCCCGAAGAAAAGCATATTTCTTAAAGTACCATACAGAGGGGAAACAAGTAGTATGATATTGAAGCAGAGATTAAAATCTGTTATCAGTAAAACATACTATGCAGCTCAGCTTATAATTGTTGAGACGACAAAACACCTGCTTCACCACAAACCTCAACCTCGCACAAATGATTACATCACATCCAACTGCGTTTACCAATTTACATGTATGTGTGGGCACACATACATCGGGAGGAGTAATCGTTCAATGCAGACTAGGGTGGGTGAACACATCCCCAAATGGCTAGAAAAACAGTTTAACACACAAACTTTGATAAGTGCAGGTGACAGACATCCATCGTCATCTATAGCAAAACATATTATTGAAATGAATCACAGGGTTAATACGAAAACAGCGTTTAAGATAATATACAGGAATAATCAGGGGCGCATACTGAAGTTTGCCGAAGCGTTAGCCATTCGTAAACTTAATCCCCCGCTGTGTGTACAAAAACAGTTTGTTGTTTCACTTAATTTACCTTGGTAATCCTTATCTGATTATGTTACCAAGACTAGTGTCACAACCTTTTCATATTCACTATATTTGACCTTTAATTTTCATATATAAATTGACTTGACAAGTAAATGTGTGATCAGATTGTTCGAAATGTATTGCGCAAATACATCACATTTTTCAGATAATCTTCGTCTTCTAATAGCGTTATCGGAAGTTACAAACCGTTAAGTTTTGAAATATGACCAGTGGCAACTTTCTCAGTTTAAGGAGTTCCATTTGCTCAGCTTTCATGAGATTCTCACGTGCTGTCTAGGGGACACCTGGCGTTTAGAAAAGATCCAATTTTCTGTGCTTCAAATGCAAGGGGACTTCTTTCTCGCTTGTAAAACGAAGGTGGTGTATTTTTGTGAATGTATTTGATGTTTTTTAAAAGCAGATTGTAAGTACAGCGGCATACCTTGGTTCAGAGGTGCAAGTTTGCTGTTAGGTGTACACTGAGAAGTTTAACAGCGGTAGCTTATCACAAACGCACAATCGAATCTTTCCTTGCATCGAAGGAATAAGTCGGAGTTGGACTGGAAGAAAGGCTGTTCTCAACTAACGGGGTGAGTAGTATTTCAGAGTTCATGCCTAGGAGTTTTTTTTTAACTGTAGATGCAAAGCGACCAGGGTTTTAGGATCCGCAGGTGTATTTGGTTTGGCTGATTTCAGTTTCATGGTTTCATACTGCTGCTTTCGGGATAATTGGTTCCAATCGGGATATCTTTTCCGGAGTATTCTGTTGTTCAGTAATAAAATAAGGATTGCGGATATGAAGGACTCTATGAAAAATGGAATGGATTAGATTCCGCTGATATCTAGAAACACCCAGCTATAGACACTCATGAGCTGCCTGTTTCACACGAGTTTTTCAAGGATGTCTCTTTTCAGTGTTCTAGTATCTTAGGTTTCAGACTACGCCGGTTGAAATTCATCGCAGTTTTAATTAGGATTGTAAAGACAAGCGTAAACTATTTTTAACACATTAGTGGATTTCTTGAAACATTTTTTTACCCTGTCAAAGCAGATACTTGAATGACTATGTGGAAGACGAAATGGTAGGCTGGATATAACATTGCAGCAAAATAGCTATACAATAAACTTCAAAACGAAATACATATTGAGACCTAGAGAGAATATGAAGATGAAGAGCTTTATATCTTAGAAGAATTTTCAAAAATGATATTACCTCAGATATAATAAATTGCAAAACAAATGGATTTGTTGAAAGATCATTCAGTGTCCTAAAATTGGAGGTCACATTCATAACCAAGCCACTTCTGAAACCACAGTACAAGTATCAGTTATCAGTAATGCTACTTCAGTATATGTTTAGTTGTTCAACTGCTTCTGTAGAAACACTAACATAAACCGTACCTAGAGGGCTTTATCCATGTACACTACTGAAACTGTGTCAGATTGATTATGGAAAACAATTAAAAAATGCATAAATAGTTTAGTTCTTTTGTATTTTAGGGATACTGTAGGCCTCAAGCATAGTCCAGATAAGTGTGCATAAGTAGATCATTACCACCAGATTTCAACTCTTCTGATCAAATTGATTTTATTGTACGGCTAACTACAGACTGATTACTATTCCAGTTGGGAAAAGTTTAGATCCATTCGGTGTGATCTCCGCTTACCCATAATACTTATAGTCAGAATGATGAAATGCATTCACTATATGACTTGCATTGGGTATTGTATTTCAGTTATTCACTTAGATTTAGAAGTGTAAAGCATGAAGAGAAGGTAATTGGGAACAAGTATCTCCTAAAAATTATTCTTGTCCTTAGTATTTCTACAGGAAATTTTCCCCTTTGTGTACAGATTTCATCAATGGAAATAAATCAAAAGTTCGTCAGTCCAGTAATCATTCTATGCATCCATCTTCTCTATCAGAACACAAACTAGTACCCTTCAGTGACAGAGGAGTCAGTCTATAGCTTAAGAGTACCGACTAATAAATAGTAATTATATACAGGCATTAAAATATTATACCGTACATACTACATTACAGTTATCATACACCATGATGCTATTTCGGTTCAGTCAAGAGACGAAATGAATTATCAAACGAGAAGACTGTTTGGAAACAATCTAATTTCAACGAAACATTTCATCGTCAAACCTTGTAGGTAATAGTTGTCATCAGGATGAAATTTGTGGTTTTAATAGTAGAAGGTTTTAATGTGTGAATGATTCCGGTTTGTCTAGTCAAGCAAAGTATGATGTCAACAATAAAACGAAATCCTAGGCAAAACAAATCATTGAATATAATTGTCATGACAATGAAATGCATCATATCAAAAGGTTTCTTCATGAAAACAAAACTAAAAGGAG